ATATTGAATGTCATCCATCTGTAACATTTGGAGATTCTCTGAACTGAAAAAAAATGCATTGCCAATTTGTCTTTCAGTATTGTCTTCTTCCTCTGTTGCGATTCAGTGGAAAGCAACAGGATTCAAGTATACTTGAAAGTATCTTATATTGAAAATACTCGAAAAAGAATAGTTCAAATCCAACAGGCAAAATTTACTCGATCTCATCTCTGTGCAGAGGATCCTTTGACGAGGACAGTTAACGCCACGTTGTGGGTGCCGCTTTCGACCACGCCGCTGTCTCTCTCTCTCCCGGCCGCGATATTTACGGGGCGTCGAGGCGTGGGTAACGCTGTTTGCCGCAATTTCTTGTTTCCATTAGGTTGGCCGGCCTGCGGGCTAAATTCCACCCTCGCAGGCCCACCTACCCTTCCTGCGGGCTGGGTTGCGCAACTTCGACGGCGGCGCGGGGCGAAACGACAGGCGACCGATGCCGAAGAGAGGAGAGACGAGGGTGAACGTGGGGGTGGTGGATCGGCCGACAAGCCTGGCAGGAGGGAAATGGTGCACACAGAGAGGCCTTGGCTTCCACTGTGCGCGATCAAATGACGCGCGCCAGCGCCCACAATAACGGCCCCTCTTCACGCTTCGCTCCGATCCTATTCCAATTCAGGGCTTCGATCCCTCTCTAGGAGACGATCGACGATCGAGGATCGGTTCTTTGGAAACGCGGTCTTTGGTGACGCGGCCCTCCTGCACGCGGGACCGTTTGATTCTCGATCTATCAAGTTCCAGCTCGATTCTCTGCAGCCGATGACTTTGAACGAGTTTTTTTTAACATTAACTGGATCGCTTTGGTTTGAAATGAATTTTGGTTGTCCTATAATTGATAGTAATTAGAGATCGCGGTTTCGAATGTGTATTATATGCGTGAAATGGAATTAACGATCTGTGGTTTTTTTTATACATGTCTCTTAGCATAGTTTTTAGTGTATCTATGTTTTTTAGTTCACGTTTTATACCAGTGTGAAAATTTCTGAAAAAAATATGAATATACTTCTTCATTTCGTGGATATAAATCTAATGTGCATGTAAATGACGCTTGTAGGAAACATCACCTTAATCGAGATTTTTTTGTTTCTGGCAGAATCAAAGTGTTTCGTGACAATACGCGTATATATTTAAATGTATCAAATCAAAAATTAAATGAATTGAGATTCGGATTCGTTTACTATACGCATAGGGACCTACAAATTTTGACCTACATCACTGTGATATTTAATTGTAAATCGTTAGATCGATAAATTAGACAGATATGTAAATTGTATATATAATCTCATATAACATGTATAAATCATAAGCAGTTGAAGCATCTTGCATCATGATATCTTGCGATATCTCTGTCAATTTTTAAACTTTTCCAACCGAAACCAATAAGGTTCTAAAAAAAAGTCCAGTGCAAGAGCCATGTGGCAAAATGTTGAAAAATGGGATTTCTCTTAATTTTGATATTCAGAGGTATTTTTGACTGAAAAATATTCTGAAAAATACATAAGTCAGATTGAATCAATTTAGTTAGGACAATCGCTAGGATCGCGTGATATTTATTTGTAAATGGCTCGACACGATGACAAATTCTTCGCGCGATATTTCCATTTTCACGAGCGTTGTATTGTAGACAACGAGTAATCGCAGTAAGCAACAAGAACACGGCGTAACACAACAGGATTCTATTAAACGTTCGACGCGAGAAAAGCGAGGAGAAAAGAGGAGAGAGGAAAGGAGGATAAAGTGATTCGCGGCAATTAATCCGCCTGTAAATGATAGCGTTTTCATTTTCGCTAATGCCTTGCTGCCACGGCTCGGAGAATAATAATCTATCTTAAATAACCTGCGGGGTTCAAGCGCGGCGTTGAAGCAGTCTCCATCGTTCGAGCTTCGCTGCAAGATGCTCCAGCTGATGTAAATGGCGAAAGCTAAAGTAATCTCGACCAAGAATTCAATTACCCGAAGAGGATTGGGCGATGGTAAAGGATGGGTCGAGATTTAAAAACAGAAATTATGCCCGTCGTCGATGATATTACAACCGAGTCTTTTTTTATCAAACGAACATCAACCTCGGACTAGCACTGTCAAAGTACGAGTAAACAGCAATTTCAAGATGCTTTCTCAATAATTCGATGTTCGATTTATTATCCTTTACTGGTAAGTGGAGTTATTTTACGAGTCGTTTAAAAACTCACAAACGAAGTGCTCCGGAAAATAATAATTGACGGTGAACTATTATACGAGCTCCAATTTTTATAAAGTTGAATGAAGTTCTATTCCATTTCTGACTGGTCACTAAAAAGGAGAAAGGTATTTCTAACTCAAGTGTTATGTATATTTTATAAGTTCAGTAAGACAAAGCATATTAAATCTAACGTTTAAAATATTATAAGTGCTTTTCGTGCATAATGAAATTAATAATTCTGACTTGTAATCTTCCACAGAAGTGCTAGCAACTATTAACGTAGAGTAGCATGAGCATCATGCGACTTCTTCTTCAATCTATCTGACGCGAACTATGACATTTGACCGACTTTATCACACAGCATCACTACACGTTGTCGTAAATGTGGAAGAAAACAGATCGATACGAATAATAAAACATACAGAGTACATGTGACACTATCGTTCGACATGTAGAACATTAAAAAAAATTCGTATATAAGTACATA